ACAATGAATATGCATTTGTTTAGCACATTTAAACAAGGTCATTTTAATGTTACATCAGGAAAGGTAGTACAACATGTAAAAGAAACCCCAAAATCTAGATCACTGGATAATATAAAAAAAGAGGTTTTAAGAGTTATTAAAAGATGAAATGTAAATGAATTAAGAGAATAAAAGATTAGATGGTGGATAGAAAGATGAGTATGATTTATATATGTTTCTTAAAAATTTCAACTTACCCTTCTGTAAGTCGTCTGTACTTGATTCTGCATTTGTCTTTGAGAATAGCTTTTTGCTTTATTTTTCTAAACTAATCCATTCTTTCTTCCTCAGCTTTGGGATTTGTCCCCACATGACAGACGACAACAAAGACCAGCTGAAGGGCAAAGACCTGTTGGTGGCTTATTATGATGTTGACTACGACAAAAACCCCAAGGGCTCAAACTACTGGAGGAACAGGTAGGTGTTTCTAAACTGGCACCAGACTTGTTCTCTTCTCAGCTCCATGCATCGAGATGCTACTTTCACCTCCCATTTTCAAAAGCATGACTTTTAAAACTAAGCAAATAATCGTTTCACAGGGTGATGAAGGTGGCAAAGAGCTTCCTGGATCAGGGCAAGAAGCTGAACTTCGCTGTGGCCAACAAGAACATGTTCGGCCAAGATGTGTCCGAATTCGGCCTGGATGGCAGCTCGGGAGAGTTGCCCCTGGTGGCCATCCGCACCTCCAAGGGAGACAAGTTTGTCATGAAGGAGGAATTCTCGTAAGTTGAGACAGTTGCCATTTCTGTGTTTTGCCACAAATAAATTGAACCACACATACCACATGTATTATTCTATTGCGTACCATAGTTAAATTAAAAGCACATCCCCTATTTTACTGGCTTGTTGACTTTGAAAGTGAAACTGATGATGTTTGTCCATGAAGTGCCACCATGTGGCTCATTGAGAGAGTGATCATTTAATATAACGACAGCCCTTGTGAGCCCTCACAGACTCGGGTGACAGATCTGATCCACAACATTTAAACCTTGATTTGTTTGAAATGACGCCACAATATCAACACTGATCACCACATAATGATCTATACTTTTCTTCAATGAGTCAACTCTTTTATTCATTCATAATTCAGCTTGCCTCTCACGCTGTCTCACACTCTCACACACAAACAGTGTGATCGAACACGTGTGTAAACTCAGACTGGGTAAAAACAACAGAATTTGTAAAGTTGGTCAATGTATGGAGAGCCGGAGCCGATCGCGTCATAAGATGAAATGAACAGATGTCTAAGGAAGCTGCTTGAAGTTTGTGTGATTACAAATTTTTGAATAATGGGATCCACTACAGGAGAGCACTGGTACTCTTGGTGTCTCTGACTTGAATTTCTTTTCTCTATTCTCACAACAGTCGTGATGGAAAAGCACTGCAGGCTTTCCTGCAGAGTTACTTTGACGGCACATTGAAGCGTTATCTCAAATCAGAGCCCATCCCAGAGAACAACGATGGACCTGTCAAGGTAAGCCTAATTTCATCTTTTTTTTGTGCTGTGTTTTGCAATGGGGTTTTATCCTGTTTGCTTGTGCTGAATGTGACGCCTTGATTTAGCACCTTTCTGACTTAATTCCTTATTAATGTGAAACACTTGGAGTGGAATGATTAATAAAATTAAAGTTTAGGGAAATATTTATATATATTTTTTTACATTTGTAACTGGTCAACCCATAAATCGGTCAGTAGTAACTGGTCAGGTGGGTTTGTTCATGTTTATATATTCAGACATGAAAAACAGGTTAGTCAACTGTCATTCTGCCGCCACATCTTTTGAATTAATTTTCAGAATCATGATCCTTGAGCACCTGCAGTGTGTGTGTGTGTGTGTTGCAGTAAATGTGAATGAACATTGAGAAAAGTGGAACACTACAATTATAACTGTCATGATTCAAATCATGCCTTTTGTAATGAGTTAACTCTCTTTTTATCTTCAGGTTTTGGTGGCTGAGAACTTTGACTCGATCGTCAACGACGACAGCAAAGATGTGCTGATCGAGTTTTATGCTCCGTGGTGCGGACACTGCAAGACTCTCGAGCCCAAATACAAAGAGCTGGGAGAGAAGGTGAGGGAAGGAACACCTAATCTGAGTCAATAATTGTTGGGATAAGACAACACTCTGAATAAAAGCAGCTTTTTCATGAACTAAACTGAAGCATTAGTTCTGAATTTGAAAAGACCAGGTTTAAACAACTTGACAACATTTTGAGATTTAACAGTGGAAGGAAGCTGGTGTAGTCAGGCATTTTGGGCTCAGGGTTCAAAAATATATTATGGCTCTACGATAGCCGCTAGTGATTTTATACTAGTATGGATGATGTAGTGAGCCACTAGCCCCTGCCACGTACTATCTTAACTATCGAGTAATGTACCATTTACATTTTGGATTTATTGATTTAATTGTTTTGCCTTGAAAATTGTCCACCAGTTCCCACTGCCCACGGTGGCTTCTTGTTGAATGTCCTGTTTTGTTGAACCCAGTTAAAAACAGATATTCTGTGTGCAGCAACATATAATAAGGAAAAGAAGCAAAATCCTCACACTTGAGATGCTGACATTTAAAATGTTTGCATGTTAATGATTCAAATAATTTTCATAACTGGCGATTAAGTCATTTCATCTTGTGAAAAAAAAGTTTAACACTTTTTCTCCTGTTCCTGAAGCTGGCTGACGATCCCAACGTTGTCATTGCCAAGATGGATGCCACAGCCAATGATGTGCCAGCTCCATATGAAGTCAGCGGGTGGGTCAAAAGTCATCTTTATATAATATTCAATCTTCCCCATATAATGTGAATTTCTTAAAACTCCCAAATTTCTGCCTCAAAATTCCTGTGTCATAGGCTGTAAGTTTTGTGAGTTTGAGATCTTTTGTATTAAGTCTGAAGGAGAACACTGTCTGATGGCACATTATTTAATTTATTCTTATTTGTCCCCTCAACTTTTTCTTTTTCAGTTTTCCGACAATCTACTTTTCCCCAGCTGGACATAAGATGAACCCAAAGAAATATGAGGTGAGTCTTCACCATGAGTGATCATTTAAGGGAGTGAATTCACATCTGTGCTCATTACTAATAGTCTTGTCTCACCGCTCTTGTTCCAGGGAGGCCGTGATGTTGGTGACTTCCTCTCCTACCTGAAGAGGGAGGCCTCCAACCCCTTGGTGATGCAGGAGGAGCCCAAGAAGAAGAAGAAGAAGAAGGATGACGACGACAAGATAGAGCTATAAAGGCTCCACACAGGAACTCAACACCCCGCCCCACCGTGACAGGAGGATTGGGGAAATCCGTGCAGAGAAAGAACTAAATTATATTCCACTCTCTTAGTGAACTACCGAATGCTCTGATGCCAAGTCAAAAAGACGTGGCCCTCCCTTTAGGTCCTCTGCTGCCCTGGGGAAACTGTGGAAGGTGGAGAAGTGGTGGCCAGGGCCTGCCCGATGTTTAAAAACAAAAACACATTTTTAGGGAAGAGGGGACAGCTTTTGAAATTTTGAGATTTTTATTTCCCCCTGGTCTGAATTCTATACCTCAGGCTGATGCACTTTGGTTCGTCAACAGTCTCCTGTCATCTGTCGCTTTTGATTTTTGTTGTTATTGTCACAGGGGATAATGGTAAATGGTGAATTCCTTTTTTTTTTTTTTCTCTCCTTTTCTTTTTTTGTTTTTGTTACATGTCTTTGTTTTTGTACATTTGGAAGGATTCTGAAATAAAAGGCCCACAAAACCAAAGTGAACTGTATGATCTCATTCATGAATATACATAGTTACTGTCAGCTGCTTTTCAAGCCTCAGTTAAGCACTTTGTTGAAGTGCGGCTCTACTGAGATGTTAAACCCTGGAGTACCTGGTTGACCCACTACCAGAATCTAATACAAAGAACAGCATACAAACACTCATGTGCCAAAGCAATCAAAAACCATTTGCCTTTCTTTGGTCAAAAACCTGACTTCCTCCCATATATACACCTGAGCATCTGACAATGGCACAGTGACACCCAAAGGACTAGCAGTGAATCACAAATCATGGTAATATTGAACACCACTTTTGGTTCTTTTGATTATGTTTATAAATTCATGTCATTTGTACCTTATTAGAAAAGCCCTTATTTGTATTTCTTTAGTTCTAGGGACAAGGGTGTGATATGAACGACTTATCATTGGTGATTCATAAAATGTTAAATTGCTCAGTGAATTGTTTGGTCTGTTATTTTAGAATGATTAAAAAGACCATCATAAGCTGCCAGAGTACGTTTGTTCAAAAATGTCCAATACTTAAAAATTCAGTGTGTAGAATTGAGTGGTGAATTTGCATATTGCAGCTGAGTGACCCTCACCTTACCCTCCCCATCCAAACATAACAAATACCCATTCTGGATGACAGGAAAAGACATGTCGGCCTCCATAGAGAGGAAATAAACTCCTTAAATATAATGGGGCAATTCTAGGTTGAAGAAACAACCATTTGTACAATTAACATTATAACACATGAATGAAAACATTGCTAGGATTCATTTATATTCAATTTCTGCCAATAGATCCCTTTAACCTAAATCTTACACACTGGACCTTTAAGATAGTGAATTTGTAATGCTAGACCAAAGTAAATTCAATCATGTTTGTTTAATAGAAGAATGAACTGCTATTTAGTTGTTAAAAAATCAATCGCAATTTAGTTACAAATAAAATGATGAATGTCTTTCAAAACTAACTTTAAAAGCTTCTACAACTCAAAGGCAGGTCAATTATACATAAACACAACTGGAGCATCAGTCAGGGTTTTTGGATGAAGATTAGACTATAAGCTCAATTTAAGGCTTTTTGATTGGGTTGAAATTGGCATGACATAATTGTGTTTATATAATGCCAGTCATATATAAATACAAATATGAGATAGGAACATAACACACATTATGAAGCATAATCTTTGCGGGAATGTCGCGCCGGGCCTATAGATGGCGCATGTGTTTAGCAGCTGAACACTTCTTGTGAAACGAAGAAGAGAAGCATCCAACGGAATTGCCCAGGCATGTCCGGACTGTCCACGTGCTGCCTCAGAAGGTAAAGTCAGAATGGGTCTTTATGTTCTCTCTCGTGTCGTTTGTGATCTTTCATAGTAACACCTTTATCTTCTCCTATCTAAGTTCTACATGTATTTGTACGAGTCGTGCTGTGGAGTCTTGTTTGACGTGTCTTTCCTCAGCTAGCTAAGTGCTGTTTCCACTCCGAACACCAGACTCCATTGGAATATGTGGCACTTTGAAGTTCTGTCTCAACCAACAGCCAAGTTAAACCCGGCACAGAACCATAGACTGTATCTAAACAGAACACGAGTCCACTCTGCTCTCTACCCTCAGTGTTCGCTTATATACACCACTAACAAACAACCATGTATGTAATGCTGAACCTGCATTACACGCCTGTCATTGAGCTCTACTGTCACACTCATACACTGCATCTCTATACGTTATAGTCCTCACTTAAGTCTAGACCTTTGGTGAAGGAAGCATCAACAGACTGAAGGACAATGTGCAGAAGCTCTGCAGTGTCTCTGATATTTATCATTCAGGTTGTTGTTTACCTGAGGAACGTACTTTGTAAAGAACAGCTTCTACCTCATTGATTTTTGCCATTTATCTCTTCTCTGCTATTATCTTAATATGGTGTATTTTATCTGCTTTCTTTGATTTTAGATATATCATTATATCATTTGCTGCCTGTTATTGTGAATGACATCATTTGCTTCTTGTCTTTAACATTTTAATAATACAATAATTACAATAATATAAGTTCATGTATGTAGCTCCATTCAGTTATAAGATGTTTTACAAGTCAAGAATTAGAGATTGAAGGCAAACAATAGGAAATAATTCAAAACAATTTGAGAATACATTACAGCACAATTTCAAAAATAAAGTGAGAGTATAAAAAGAGTCAAAAGATATCAAATGATTCAAAAAGTAAAAATAGTTGGTAAAAAACAGCTTTTTAAAAATGTGTCTGTAAGAGAGATTTAAAAAAGGATAATGAATATGCCAGAATCATGTGGCAGCCCCCCTTCATGTTTTTAATGTTTTTTTTTTTCTTTTCAGAAATGAATTTAAGGGCTTCTCAGCAACCACTGGTATTTGTGTTAAAAAGCTGTGAAGCTTCATGCTATGGAGAATGCAAGAGCAGCGACAAAGTGTCAGAAGATAATTGTCAATATGCAGAGGAAAAGAAGAGACAACCACTGTGAACCACTGGGTACAAATAAATTGGTTAAAAAATCAAAATGGAGCAATTCAATGCAGGAATGTCAAAACACTCAGATCTCTGAAAACAGGAGCACCGATGCCTCTGAACCTGGACGCTCTGTGTTTGTACGTAAACCTGCTGACCACCACAGTTTAGTCACAGCCCTCAGAGACAGCTGGGAGGTGGACAGCGGCTTCTCCTCCGAGGCCAGTCCTCCAGCCAGCGGTCGCAGTTCACCGTGCCTCAGCTCATGCCCAACCACAGTGGTGACGTTGGACTGTGAGATGGTGGGGACGGGGCCTGGCGGGCGCTGCAGTGAACTGGCCCGCTGCAGTATCCTGGACTATCACGGCAACGTCCTGTATGACAAATACATCCAGCCGTGTCAGCCTGTCACGGACTACAGAACTCCCTGGAGCGGCATCCAGAGGCGTCATCTGAACAACGCTACACCCTTCGTTCAGGCCAGGGAGGAGGTGAGATCAGCGTCATGTTACTATCTACATCTGCTCTTTGATCCTGTCATCTACTGTCACTCATTTTTAAATACTCTGTATACAATGAATGTGTAGGCTGTGATTATAAATACACTCATAAACCACTTTGTCATTTTCATCTTTCCTTTCGTAAAGGATGGTCCTTTGCTAAAACCAACACAGTTTGTGTGTGAACTGTCTACACTGACAGAATCTAATATGCTGCCAACCCAGCTGAAACTCCAAATAGTTTTTAATCTAAATTACAGGTAAATAATCTGTTGTTCTTCTGCACTTGTGTGGCTTCTCTTCTGTAGATCATGAGCATACTTGAGGGCAAAGTGGTCGTGGGTCACTCCGTCTACAACGACTTTGAGGCACTGGACATACTCCATCCATGTCACATGGTCAGGGACACGTGTACTACACATCTCCTCAGCCGGTTGGCCGGATTTCCCCGAAAACGCTGCCCTTCGCTCAAAATCCTGTCCGCTAAACTGCTGAACAGGAAGATACAGGTGAGACTTTATACATTGTAATCATTGGGGATACAAAGCCAAATTTGTAGTAGGAATACATTTCTATATTTACAAAGGTTTTTCACTGAATCCACAGTTGAAGACTGTTAATATGTATTAATGAGCCTAATAACAGAAATGTTATATACTGATGTCTGACACAAAGAGCTCTAAAGACTTGGTGTTCCTCAGAACTCCGGCTTTTACCAGCTTTTTTCCTTGAATAAGAAACCTCAGTACCTTAGAGAAAACACTAATTAGTAAAAAATTACAAACTAGTCAAAAAGCACCCATGTCTGTTTGTGCTGAAGGTAACCAATGTACAGAATGCAGCTCCTGTGCAGGTAAAGTTAAAGGCATAAAGAGAAATGAATTTATTTGTTAAATCAAAGTGAAAGTTAAGGTAAGAATTAATTGGATCTGACTGATACAAGGTCTGTTTTAGTGAATGATATCCAAACCCAGGTGTCAGTGACCCAATGTTAGATGATAAATAAGAAGAAACGGCAGAATTATAAAAAAGGGTGATGTAATTTCTAGTGTTACTGTGATGTTTGACCACTAGAGAGCACTTATAAGGTCATTCTTAACTGTGAAAAGTATTTGTGAGTGTGCTGGATTTTTTGGCTTTTTAAAAAATGTTCACAAATATCAGGGAAACAGCAGGGATTAACAATGAAAGACAAATGTTTAAACTATCAAAGGATTTTATCTAATTTCTCTATCTGCTTTAGAGGCTGAGAAATCAAAAGTATTTTTTAAATATTGGCAATTCTGTCAACTTTTGAGGAAACCCTCAGGTTTTAAGTGGTTGTTTTCAAAAATGTTTAGATTTTAGAGAGCATTTTTACTCGGTTCCTTAGGTCCTACTGGTTTGTTTTCCATTTCTTTTCCGAAAATCTTAACAGAAGAAGAGTTAATGTTCTTCTTTCCTTTAATAACATGTGCACAGAACTGATGTGTGCTTGGTATGTTCTCAGACATGTTGTGAACTGCACTGAGTCTGTCTCCGTTTCTCTGACCAGGTTGGGCGGAGAGGTCACTGTTCGGTGGAGGACGCTCGGGCCACACTTGACCTCTACAAGCTGGTGGAGGGTGAGTGGGAGCAGGAGCTGCAGAACAATCTGAGGGACGACGACGCTCCACAAGAGCCCAGCTTCGCCTCCTCCAACCACTACATGAAGGACGAGTACTGGCCTGATGATGTCACAGCTGACAGCCAATGACGAAAGGGTATTCATGCGACATTTAGTGGGAAACGCCAAGTTCCAGTTGGGTGGTGATGTTCTTCAGAGCAGATTCAGATCTCTATTAATAAAGTGAATGAAAAACACAAGTATAGTCAAATCTGGGGGCTAAAATTATCCTCATAGTCTCATATGAGAAGATGCTGGGTGACCTCCGGGAAAACTTACTTGAACGAAATCACTTGTTAACTTATTATTGTTGAACATGTTAAACATGGTCGATGTTCCTAACAGCATATTTCTGCTGTGATACCAGATGCTTGCAGAGTTGATATTAATCAAGTTGAACTGACTTGATCATGATTATAGTATGAAGTGTTGGTGATATGCAGAGTTTTTACAGTCTCTGCTCTTACGTGTGAGTGAAAAATGTGCAACTATTAACACGGCATGAGACTAATCTTAGGCCACAGATTTGGAAAATAACTGTATTTTTCAGTTTGTACTTTCTTGAAATACCTCTGTACACAACATGTGAACATTTCACAGGAGGCTGCTTTTAAGATGTTTTATCACTTTCATGTCAAGTGTTTCATGTATTAAGTGTTGGAAGTTACCTCATTGTTGCTACTCCTAAAAGTTCTAATAAAATGACATCATGTTAATATAAAGCACTGACTGCTTGATTTCAGTGAAACAATGTGACAACACTGTGAAAACACAATTCTACCTGTTTTCCATATGGACCAAAAAGGTTTTTATGAGTGTGTAATGTTTAATGTTCATACTAAAGTTCTGAATATTGGTTTAACAAATGAATGTCACTTATTAGAGTGAATACTTCTGCCAAGGCCCAACATTCTTCTTATCAAACTGCATTTAAATTCACCACATCTACATTTTTATTTGGATTTGCTTCAAATTTCACAAATTTTAAAGAGAAAAACTAAATTCTGGATCCACCCCTAATCTGCATCTGCACCAAAATTCAGTGGGTTCCTCCCTGACCAATACCACATCCTTCAGTGGAAGGTTCCCTGGCAGGAGGAGAAATATTGGACGAAACCACAGCTCTGAAGATGTTTGGAAATATTTCAGCATGTGAAATCATTGAATGGCATCATGTATAAATTGGTTATAAGATATTTAGTGACACAAGGGCACAAAGGTTTTCTTCAATCAGAGCGTTCCCTATTAAATCCCTATAAGTAGAATCCATGTGAGTCATTGAGCCTCATGTGGAAAGCTCTAAAGACGTGGACGTGATCCATGATCCATGGGAGGGTATAATGTCACTTGGACTAAACATGCAGTATAGTGAGCTGCAGGTGGAGCTGTACAGCTCTGTAAACGGCTCTGTCCCTGTGCCTCAACTTCTTTGTTTCCCTCTAAAACCCCACCAACACACACACACACACACACACCCCCAAAGCCTGAACCTGGACCTACAGCTCAGGCTATAGGGAGAGAACACAGAGGAGCATTGTTTGCCCAATCCATCTAATTTTGTTTTCCTAATCACTTTCTTGAGCAGATTTAGCAGATTACAGGTCGGTTGCCTGCTCATTCATCGTTGCATCAGGAGGAAAAAAACGTGTGCTGGTGATGTCAGCGCTGCCATGGCCAGAGGAAGGAAAACGGAACACTTCCAAATATGAACCAACACACCTGCTGCAGGTGTGATGAGACCATACATGAACAGACCTGCCTGATGAAGAGGAAAACATCCACAGAACAGGTGCACAGAATTTTCATGTGTGTAGTGACTGTGAACAGTGCTTCTTGAATGATTATGTCAATAATATAGATTATGTCCATAATACCCCAGAAAAAAAAAGTCCATTTCAAAAAATAATTACCTCCAGCAAGGATGTTATGTTTCACCTGTTAGTGCAAGAATACATAAAAACAACAGATTTAAATCAAACATAGTGGAAGAATGCGGTATGGGTCAGGGAAAAATCCATTCAAATTCTGGTGCGAATCTAGGATTTTGTTTTTCACGTTATATAAAATTGTACTCACAAAGTATGTTTATGTTTGTCTTGAGCGTGATATGTTAAAATCAGTTTGAGGGAATGTCATAAAAATTTGTACAAACATTCACTTTGACTTAAAAAATGGCTCAACTTTATATTGTTTTGAACTCAATATATCAGGTATCCCAAAAGGGAATTTCATCACATCTGGCACGAACATTCACTTTGACTCAAGAATGACCTGAATAGAATTTGGGGGCCAAAGATCAAAGATCAAGGTCACTGTGACCTCACAAATCAAATGTTTTCGCCTTGTGAATGTGATATCTCTGAAACATCTTAGTGAATTCTTTCACATTTGGGACAAACATTCACTTGAGTTTGGTCGATCGCAGTGGCCTCACAAAGTATGTTTATGTTTTTCTTGAACATGATATCTTAAGATCAGCTTAAGGGAATGTCTTCAAAGTCCAAAAATCACAGTGATGCCATGTTACTGTGAATGTGACATATTAGGAGTGCCTATAGGAAATTTCATTATATCTGGCACAATTCACTTGGACTCACTGATAAATCAATTTGATTTCAGTGGTCAAAGGTCAAGGTGGCTTCAGAAAAACATGTTTTTGGCCTCGATATCTCGAGACAGCTTTAGAATTTCTTTAGAATTTGATCAGTTGTCCCTTGGACTGAAAGATAAAGGGATTACGTTTCAGTGGTCAAAGGCCACAGTGACCTTTTATATGAATCTTGAAAAAAAGTATGCAGAAATATATACACAGAAACTGCACTGGTTGGCAGAGGCATACAACCGCAGTGCGGTAATTCTACTATCTCACTCAGCCTCATGAAGCCTCAGTATATGTCTGTGATATGATGAAGGGCTGATCACATTATATAAACCTTTGCATTTGCACCTTTGAAGCTTCATGTGGTCACAATACCCCCTCCACACACAGACACACACACAAATACACTCCGCAGCAGAACAATCAAGGTGACTGACACGTGTGATTATGTTCTGCTCGCTGAGATTGAATGTGTACATGAAAACTAATCTGATCACAGGGAATTGTCGATAGTTAAAGGTTTAATGATATGAACTAAGTCTTTACCTAAGTTGTGAATGTGGTTGTTGTGAGCTTGTGTGGATGTGTGTGTAGATATTTCTTATTAATCGAAAGCCTAGCTCTTCTCCTCAGTCACACAATGGAGGATTTTGACTTGTCTGATGATTTGGAATGACAGTGGCTATGTTGTTACAAATTTGAGTTGCTATATCGTGTTTTTAGGTTTACTTTTGTCCCTCACAGAAATATAAGCTTTGGCAGTTGGATGCCAATTTGCACAACATTAGACTATTTATGCTGAATTTAATTACACTTATTATTTTTGTCTGCAATGAGTGGACAGAGTCCAGCAAAGTCTGAAATCTGTTTTTGGGTTACGTTTTTATTACCTCCATCAAGAAGGTTAGGTTTTCACTCCTTTCTGTTTGTTTGCTGGTTGGTTGGTATGAGCAAGATGGGAATAACCCATTACCTTTTGAAGCCGGTCTGCATTAAGGTGTGGATCCTTTTTTTCATCAACCTCTTAAGCAATGTGAGATTTGTTTTTTGACATTTTCACTGATATATAAAGAGAGAGAGAGATTTGATCCAAATAATAACTTAACTAAAGAATAATGTCATTGTAATGAATTAAAGAGAAACTTGGATGCTATTTGCATTTCAAAATCATTTTTACTGCCTGAAAGTTTTGCCTGCTGCTATAAATAAAATATTCCTGGGGGCTGAGTTAGGAGCATGCCCACTAAACAGATTTCGACCATCGTGCCTCTATAAACGTGTGAAACACACACATATGAATACAGACCTCTCCTCTCACCCGAGTGTGTTCACGTGGCAGAAATCAAACCGGGAATCAGCCATCACAATGGTCACTTTTCTCTCCATCCAAGTCTCATTGGAATGTGATCAAATCCCTCCAAACCCCCCTCCTCTTAAACCACCTGTTACCTAAAGTACATACCCAGCATTACATCATCCAAAATATGCCCTGACCCCTTCCCTGTCATCATGGGAGCACCTTCCCCATTGGTCCAAAAAAACATCACCATCACTCTGCGTCCTCCCCCTTCTTCACGGCTTCCATCACTTTATGCTGATCAAAGAGAACAAGAAAATTTGTTGGGCGTAATCTGGTGTGACGCCACTAATCCCACAGCTACAAATCACCAGTCCCCTGCACCCTGCTCCACGCAGACCGCTGCAACTTCCTGCCAGCAACTTCACATCTGCCCCAGGTAAGACTGTTGAATGCTGTACAACACTTCTGCTTAATACTGTAACTGAGGAGTAAAGCTTCAGCTGGTGATACTTATGTTGTTTACAGTTTCATGAAACCAAATTATGTATTTGGTTTCTGTTTGTTTTATAACACTACTTTTTCTGTATTGCTCTATCTATATGTGATATTTCTGTGTTAAATAAAGTCTGTTGTAGGCTAAAGATTTCTCAGGAGGTCCATAGTAGCTGCACTTAACCTGTAAATGGGATTGCTATGGTCTACTAGTCTGCTTTACAAGTACAGAATGACAGGCAGAACAGGGTTTAGTCTCTACTAATCGATAGCATATTTAAAATGATGTGAAATGTATTATTGTCACATACCAACAATATCATATTGGAATTGAATATTGAGTTTTGAAAAGAGTTGAGTGTCAGAGGATTGTTTGCTTGATAGAGTCATATCCCAGTTATTTTCCAATAAACAATTTGGTCTGGTTTAGTTAATAATCAAAACACCCATCATAATTTCTCAAACTCAAGTGTAACGTTTCAATTTGCTTGTTTTGTATGACCAACCATCCCAAACCCAAAGATAATCAGTTTCAGTTGGAATTGACAATGATTGGTAGATTTGCATGAGAAATTATTAATCGATTATCAAAATAGTTTCAGATGAATTTTCTTGCTGTAAAAGACTTGATAATTCAGCCATTAGAACAAGAACACACTGCAACAAACATTACGAAGAAAGGTTAGATGTAATCAATGTAAGATAAAAAGGGACAATATTCGAATGGTTAAAAGATTAGACTGATGATTAAAGATTAAAGAATTCAAACAGTGACTGTGAGCATGTTGATTATGAAACAATAGAGTGCCGACCTTAAATCCCTGATCAATCACCCAGGAAAGGGCGTGTGCTAAATATAGCACAAAGAGGCTAGCTTGTGATGGCAGAGAGGGTGACATGAAGGGGGATTAATGTGGAGTACAGTGTGACAATTGTCTTTTTTCTTGAATAAATTCCTTTTTATTTTCTTCCAGTAGAAAGCTGATTTAAAGAGCAGAAGAAATGGCTGTGGTTGTAAGTACTAGCACTTTTACCCATTTAAAAAACATTTAATCAGATTTCTGTTTAAAAGAGAAGTGATCAGTGTTGGTATTTTACAGAGGAGGCTTCAGAATATGCTTTAACGGTGGTGTTGAGGGAGGAAAGGGTTGGTATTAAATAATAGACCCATCACACAATCGCTTCCTTCTTCAGGACAAATACCTATTCATCATCATATAACATGGACTCTTTAGCCGCAGATCAACATTTCTCAACACCAAAGCTCATTGTTTTGGATGTCGTCTACAGCTACAGTAGCCTTAGCCGCTTAATCTCTGATCCCTGTTTCA